GTTGGAGCCGAACCACATAAAGATTTGGTTTACTAAGCTCTACTTGCATAGCCATGCTTATGAGTGTGTGCATGTATATGAAAATATATTTATGTACTTGAAGACGAACTAAACCACACTGACCATTTCAGGCAGTCAGAATCGAGCAGTTCCGATCTGTCCGAAGGTCTGTAAGGCTTGATGCCAATCAGCTTTAAAGTTAACATGAAATTTGGTAGTTATTCTTCAAATAAAGATTTGCTATTTTCGTTGTGAAAATGCTTCACGGCAAGATTCGAAGGTCAGTATCATCACAAGACGAAGGCGAAATTCTCTCGATCGCCTGTATGTGTGTGTGTGTGTGTGGATGCTATGATAAATTGGAAATTGACAGAAATTCAGGCCCAAGATTTGGTGATCATGCCTTGTAGTTGACAACATTCTACCGCGGTTGTTTGTCCCAAGAAATTCTCTTTGGCTGATTTATTTAGCTTTCTATGCACACATGCTGAGAAAGTGACTCTGGCAGGAGGCGAGGTGAAAAGCACCTTATACTGAAATGTTTTTTGAAAGTTCCGAAATGCGTCCGATGCTGTCGAGTTGTAATGGGTTTCACGGTGTTCGACGCCGAGGTAGGAGCCCAAGACCCGAATGGAAGAAGTGGCCAACCAACCGGGTCGTCTGGGCTGGCAAACGCCAGATTGGAACCAACAGCCTCCGCTTCTGACACACAATCGAAGCGGTCTCGACGTCTGCAAAAATCGCCAGCTCGGCACTTGTTGACGCATGGCCATTTCTCTACAAATATACGATACAAAAGACATTGCTGGAGCAGCACAAGTCATGAGCACCGAACGAATCGCTCCGCCTTGGCTTGCCGACCGAGTAAAGATATGTCCGTTTTCAATCGGAAGTTTGAAAATTTGCGATAGTGGATATTGAAATAGCTCAAAATGGACAGACTAATAATATCTATAAATATTATATTGTATTTAAGTTTACTCACTAACATAGTCGAATATAATGCAGAACTGTACTGCACAACCTTGAATGGTGGGCCGATCTGAGGCATCCGAAATCTCGTTACACTATTCCGAAGATTGACGGTATTGTGGCCACGAAGCCGATTCACTTTGAAGCCACATTTTAAAGAATGAAAAATTCACCAATTTCGCCTTACAAACGATCCGAAAGCCAGCATGAAACGCCAAAGTGAGGCAATTGCCATGAAACTGGATGAATTCAAATCGGCCTTTTCGGGAGATGATCATAGTCGGTTGGGAAAAACGAAAATCCGTTTCAGATGGGCCAGTTTTCGTCATGACTTGCATGAATCCTGTCTCGCGATCTCCAGACATCTAAACAAGAGTAGCGCCACATACGTGTCAAGTGTGTGACGACACAAGACGGTGCCCATATGAAGTCGCAGCCAGATTACGCGGCTATTTCATTGTGTAACTTTGAAGATGGAGCAAGGTTCACTTAATCGAGGCCGACACGAAGATGGGTTGTCACCAAGTTCGGCTCCTACACCTTGACGTGTCGAAATTGTTTCGAGCCAGCTTTTCAGTTCAAGTGATGCCAGTCTAAATGGGCGTTTAAGCCTAATTGTACACTTAACAAACCGGCATAAAACAACCGGTACATCGGCAGATTGTGGTCAATTTACTTACGTCAGCTTGTTTGCCTGAATCAACCGAGTAAAGGTGAATGAGCGTAATAACCCAAACAAACCACAAGACGGGGCAAAATGAGTGGAAAATGTAGCCAAATTAAGGATTGATTCCACGAGAAATGGTACCAAATGGGCTCCAATGAATCTGGTAATTTCAGCTCCGTGTGAGAGTATGAGTAGAAGAGATTATACGGTTAATTTGCTCATATGCTCAAAGAGTATCTCTAAATTACATATTACACTATTGCCGTGCAGTTATTTTTTTTTTTTT